GGTTTAGTAAGTCCTGGACCTTTAGTCCGTTTAGTCCTGGTTTAGTCCCGGTTTAGTCCTGGTTTTTAGTCCTTTTAGTCCTGGTTTAGACCTGTTTTAGTTGGTTTAGTCCTGGTTTAGTCCCGGGTTAGACCTGGTTTAGTCCTGGTTCTTTGATGGAGTCTGTTGTGTTTGTGTTGTTTTATTTTTAGTCGTTTTATTTAAATAAAAGTTTAATTTTAGCTTCAGTCTTTGTTTGGTTTAAGCTTCATTAACGTTTGATTCACCGAACTCCAAAACAGAACACACAGAAACAGACGGAGAGACGGAGGGAGGGAAGAGAGGAGAGGAGAGATAAAACAGGACACAGCGAGAGGAGAAGAGAGGAGAGAGAGAAAACAAAGATACAGAACAGAGAGAGAGATGACGGGAGGAAGGAAGTATCAAGGTAAGAAAGACAAAAACTTAAAGGAAACAACGACGATGCGTCAGTGACAAACTGAACAAAACTAATGTGATGATCATGAATAAAACAGAAGGAACTTGTTCACTCAGACTCATTCTACAATTACAATTAAAAATCGATTTCATGATGTCAGTATTTGCAACACAGAGAGATCAGTTTGAATCAAACATCTAAAAAAAATGTGATATCGTATCATCAGAGTTCTCTTAATGTGAACCATCACAGTAATGATTACAAGTCTTTGTTTAAATGAAGAGTTATTGTGCAGCAATAGATAAAAAACACAGAGGGAACTACATAGACCATGATCCTTTGCTCCATTTCAGTGCAAACGACAAGAAGAAATAACAGTTGTAACACTTTTAAGTCTTAGTTCTTTGGATTGAATCTTATCGAGGCATTTTAAGACGAAAAAGAAGCATATTAACAGTTTTAGCTGTTTAGCCTCGACAAAATATATCAATAAATATCGTACCGTGAGATGTACATCGTGAAAATATCGTACTGTGAGATGTACATCGTGAAAATATCGTACCGTGAGATGTACATCGTGAAAATATCGTACCGTGAGATGTGTATCGTGAAAATATCGTACCGTGAGATGTACATCGTGAAAATATCGTACCGTGAGATGTGTATCGTGAAAATGTACGTAAGATGTACATCGTGAAAATATCGTACCGTGAGATGTATATCGTATATCGTACTGTGAGATGTACATCGTGAAAATATCGTACTGTGAATGTATACGTGATCGTGAATGTCGTGAGATGTACATCGAAAATATCGTACGTGAGATGTACATCGTGAAAATATCGTACCGTGAGATGTACATCGTGAAATATCGTACCGTGAGATGTGTATCGTGAAATATCGTACGTGAGATGTATCGTGAAAATATCGTACCGTGAGATGTACATCGTGAAAATATCGTACCGTGAGATGTACATCGTGAAAATATCGTACCGTGAGATGTACATCGTGAAAATATCGTACCGTGAGATGTGTGTCGATCGTAAATCGTGAAAATATCGTACCGTGTAAGATGTGTATCGTGAAAATATCGTACCGTGAGATGTCGTGAAAATCGTATGAATATGTAATCGTGAAAATATCGTACCGTGAGATGTGTATCGTGAAAATATCGTACCGTGAGATGTGAAAATATCGTACGTGAATGTACATCGTGAAAATATCGTACCGTGAGATGTACATCGTGAAAATATCGTACCGTGAGATGTACATCGTGAAAATATCGTACCGTGAGATGTACATCGTGAAAATATCGTACCGTGAGATGTACATCGTGAAAATATCGTACCGTGAGATGTACATCGTGAAAATATCGTACCGTGAGATGTGTATCGTGAAAATCGTACTGTAAGATGTACATCGTGAAAATATCGTACCGTGAGATGTACATCGTGAAAATACGTACCGTGAGATGTACATCGTGAAAATATCGTACCGTGAGATGTACATCGTGAAAATATCGTACCGATGAGATGTGTGAAAACGTATGTGTGAAAATATCGTACCGTGAGATGTGTATCGTGAAAATATCGTACTGTGAGATGTACATCGTGAAAATATCGTACCGTGAGATGTACATCGTGAAAATATCGTACCGTGAGATGTACATCGTGAAAATATCGTACCGTGAGATGTGTATCGTGAAAATATCGTACCGTGAGATGTACATCGTGAAAATATCGTACCGTGAGATGTTTATTGTGAATTTATCGTACTGTGAGATGTACATCGTGAAAATATCGTACCGTGAGATGTACATCGTGAAAATATCGTACCGTGAGATGTACATCGTGAAAATATCGTACCGTGAGATGTGTGAAAATCGTATCGTGTGAGATGTAATCGTGAAAATATCGTACCGTGAGATGTACATCGTGAAAATATCGTACCGTGAGATGTGTATCGTGAAAATATCGTACCGTGAGATGTACATCGTGAAAATATCGTACCGTGAGATGTACATCGTGAAAATATCGTACCGTGAGATGTGTATCGTGAAAATATCGTACCGTGAGATGTACATCGTGAAAATATCGTACCGTGAGATGTGTATCGTGAAAATATCGTACCGTGAGATGTACATCGTGAAAATATCGTACCGTGAGATGTACATCGTGAAAATATCGTACCGTGAGATGTGTATCGTGAAAATATCGTACTGTAAGATGTACATCGTGAAAATATCGTACCGTGAGATGTACATCGTGAAAATATCGTACCGTGAGATGTGTATCGTGAAAATATCGTACCGTGAGATGTGTATCGTGAAAATATCGTACTGTAAGATGTACATCGTGAAAATATCGTACTGTAAGATGTACATCGTGAAAATATCGTACCGTGAGATGTACATCGTGAAAATATCGTACCGTGAGATGTACATCGTGAAAATATCGTACCGTGAGATGTACATCGTGAATTTATCGTACTGTGAGATTTGGATATTGTTACATCTAATCATGAGCCTCCATACCCTATCGTGAGCTTTCCCACGATATCGCAATAAATATCGTATCGTGAGGTTCATACCATGACGATATCGTATCGTGAGACTCGGATATCGTTACACCTCTACTTGTTCAGTGCTTGACTGATGTGGCTCGTTGTTGTTCGCCTTTAAGTTTTGTTCTTTCTTCTCTTGATCGTTGTGGATAAATTGTTCATGTTAGAATGTTTCTCCTTTGTGGAGTTTGTTGGTTGAAGATTTGGTGATGGGGCAGATTTATGAAACTGCTGGAGAATACAACACACACTTACACACACACTTACACACACATTTACACACACACTTACACACACATTTACACACACATTTACACACACATTTTGACACAGAAAACCTTAAACCGGAAGTTCCACAAACCTACAGCGAGACACTTTTGGCCATAGTGAAAAATGTCTGTTAGGCTGCAGCCTGAAGTGACCCAAATCCGATTTTTTTGTCTCTATGTTCCTGTATCTGATCTTTTAATGACGTCTGAACGACACAGATACGATTATTTCAAATGTGACCCAGGACACTTGGATATGTGCTCCTGAAACTGATACATATCTGATCTTTTGACATGTGACTTCAGTGTGAACGGCCAAAGTGCATTCATCCACCTACACGTTATCAACAAGACACAAACGTCACTATTCTGCGCTGAAGTCGGTGAAAATTGTTAATGAACTCTGTGTGACTGAAGTGAAGCACATCACCACTCACCACTCTTGGCTCCGTCTCCACATCCACACGTTCATTTCAACGGACTGAACCACAAAACACCACGACCAAAAACCTCGTCCTTCTCCTTCTCAATCTCCTCCTTAAAACAAGTCAGTTGTTCATGTTCTGGCTCCGGTACGAGAGGAACTTTAAAATCTCCAGGTGCTCGATGCTGCGTCCATGTTTGGACAACTTCCGTAAACACAGAGACGCTCGCTGCGGTTGACGTCGTCGTGTCTCCAGTGTCACATGTGGGACACTTTCGGGCTGTTTAACGTTCACACAGGGGATCACATACAAGTCGCATTTAAATGTGAACGACCTCGCAAAAACATCGGATTTCACAAAAAAATTGGAATTGAGTGTTAAGCCCTGCTGTCTGAATGTAGCCTTAGAGCCACAGTTGATGGAGCAGGAAGCACATCCATGCTCACTTCCTGTTTAAACTGCAGAGTTTAGCTCTGTCCATTTATATAAACAGTCTAACATTCCCTCTGCACAATTCGCACAAACCAAATATTCTGTCCCTGCGTTCGATTTTCTTTTGACACACACTTAGGTCTCGAATTTGACATCACGTTCAAGCTTGAAGCGTATCATTATGTTTGGCGTGTCGGACTTGGTGGATTATGATGATTATGAAAACACAGACACTTTCATTCATTTAACTGAAATTGTCATTTAAACACCAAAGTGTCCAAACTCAATGAAAACACTTCATATTTACGCGCCACAGTGGACGGAGCCTCTTGGATTCTGACTCGAAATCCTTGCTCAGTCTATTTTTTCCACCACCGAGGTCCGACTCGCACTGTCCCAGGAAAAGGGGCGTGTCACATGTGTCGCTAGGCAACTTCCTCAGAAAACCGGAAGAATAATCGACCGCAGGGTGTGTTCAGGTGAAAACAGGCTGAAGTCCGTGTGTCGGTGTTTGTTTGTTTGTTTTGGTTCATTTTAGTTTTTTCACCTTTGGCTCCGCCCCCAAACCTCAACGCTGCTCTGTGATTGGTCGGAATCTCTCGAAGTGGATTCTTGTGAGTTTGTGATTCGCAAATGTCGAAAGAATCCAGCGGCCTGTACGACAATAAAGAGAAAGAAAGAGAGAAGAAAGACAACAAAGGACAGAAAGACGGAAAGAAAAAGAAAGAATCCATCTGGTTTCACAAACTTTAATGTCAAATAACCGAACATAATCTGAATATTATAAGTTAAAAAGACGCAAAATCTAAAACCTACACATATTTACACATTTATATATTTATATTTTCTCTCTCTATACTCACAGCAACAGTGACTCCCACAAAAATAAACAGGAGGTAAAAGATTTCCACACATTTTAATCAAAGATCGGCCGATGTGTTTTTTTGTTTTTGTTTTTTTTTATAGCTGAGAATCTGATATTTTGGGGCCAATTTGGATTATTTTCCGCCAAATTATCTCATTTTATTTTTGTACAAACTCATAACCAGCTCAGTGTTTCTCTAAACTCGATGAGAATGTTAAAGCTTCATGCGCTTCTTTTATGCAGCAACATCGCCCTCTGCTGGACATAATATAATGTGCGAGTGCTACAGTTTTGATCTATGACTCCCGTGAATTATTCTGTTATAATTTGGATATTTTAAGTCGAATTGGCTGCGTTTACATGGAAATAATAATTCCGTTTTGAGGTTTACATGGAAAACTCATTAAATCGTCTTTATTTGATGTGTCTCAGCGTCTGCGAGTGGGGAAGGTTCTGATTGGACAGAGACGCCACCGGATTTACGTCAATCGGAAGAAAACACACACTTCAGCTGCTCCCGGCTTTTCTGTCATCTTGGTTTGTCATTACTCCACGAACACAAACATGATCCGAACTTTTTCCGCAGTCGTTCCAATGATAATGAGCTGTTACACTAAGAGCGCCCCCTGTAGGTTGTGGTGACTCTATTTGAGGCACATTTTATGATGACACATTTGTCTTTGTTTTTTAGGACACGTTTTTTCATTTGCACCTAGGGGTGTAATGGTGCATGTATTTGTGCCAAACTGTTTCGGTACGGGACGTTCGGTTCGCTGCAGGTCTGTGCACGAGTGAGTTCGCACAATTTGTGTGTGTTTACATTCCGCCACTACATGTGCAGCTACACGGAGGCTCGACTCTTTAATATTTACGAGGAACTGGTCGGTGATTGGCGCAGTGTTTCCAGCAGCGCTTTATAGTTAGAGCGGCCGCCTTGCCTACAACTGCCCTTGACTATGTCCTTCCAAACCACAAGAATCCTCGCAAAACTACGGTCGTCGCTCCGTGGTCCTCACTGTTGCCTTTCGCCAGCTCAGAATCTCTGCCCTTCCCCCCGTCCCACCCCCCCAGATCTGCTCTTACTGCAGACACTGTGGACAAGTTTGTTTTTCTGACCAAAAATCTGAAGATTGAGTAAAACTTGATGCTGGAACTGTTAGTGCTGCACTTTACTTTTGGAAAAGTTTTGTTTACTGTTTACAAGGAATTTATTTTTGAAATATGTCATACATTTGTTGCTTATTTGAGAATATTTTATTTAACTTATTAATATTACCAAGCAGCACTTATTTTATTTTCTTCTTTATATAATAGCAAATGGTTTTTCATTCTGTTCCCAACTGTACTGAAAATGAACCGAACCATGACCTCAAAACCGAGGTACGTACCGAACCGTGATTTTTGTACCATTACACTCCCATCTGCACCATGTTCTTTGTTAGTACATTGTTTTAAAAAAGTGCAAAACTGCAAATATCAGCCAAACTAATATCGGTTTATCTCAGATTTTCATACAGACGTCATTATCAGTAACAGACGGAAAACTTGCCATAGTATTACTTGGTATCACAAGCCCCGCCCTTCACCACACCCCACATCAGCCCCGCCCCTTCACAAGCACCGCCCCTTCACACGCCCCGCCCCCTCACAAGTCCCACCGATTCATAAGCCCCGCCCCTCACTAGCCCTGTCCGTTCACAGTTCTGGTCTCTTGGCGTTCTCTTCCTCTGTCGGGTTCGGACTCTTCTCGGTGACCAGCTGCACAGAGACGGTCGGAGGCTTCAGGAAGGGCTCGCCGGCCCAGTTCTGGTTTAAGTCCTGATCTAGATCCTGGGCCAGACCAGATTTTGGTTTGGGTCCCGGGGAGGGGCGGGGCGAGTGGCGGGGCGAGTGGCGGGGCGAGGGCCGAGGAGAGTTTAACCTTAGCTGCTTCTTCTGCTCGTACTCAGACGCACTCATGAGGGGCGCCAACACCTGAAACAACAACAGACTTTAGTCCTGGTTTAGACCTGACTTAGACCTGGTTTAGACCTGATCCTGTTATGGTCCTGGTTTCGTACATAGTCTGATTAAACACACTATTGTCCGCTTTGTAGACGCTCCTGATAAAGACCTGGTTTAGTCCTGATCCTGGCCTGGTCTAGTCTTAGTCCTGGTGTAGGTTTAGTCCTGTTTGAGTCCTGGTTTAGTCCTGGCATAGTCCTGGTCTTGTACCTTGGCAGACTTGTTGAACAGGCTGTAGTCCAGTTTGTAGTTCCTCCTGATATAGACCTGGTTTAGACCTGGTCTTGGTCTAGTCTTAGTCCTGGTGTAGGTTTAGTCCTGTTTGAGTCCTGGTTTAGTCCTGGTGTCATACCTTGGTGGTCTGGTTGAACAGGCTGTAATCAAACTCTAGTTCCTCCTGATATAGTCCTGGTTTAGCCCTGGTCTTGGTCTGGTCTAGTCTTAGTCCTGTTATAGTCTTGGTTAAGTCCTGTTTCAGTTCTGGTTTAGTCCCATTGTAGTCCTGGCCTCGTACCTTGGCGGTCTGGTTGAAGAGGCTGTAGTCCACTCTGTAGTTCCTCCTGGTTTAGACCTGGTCCTAGTCTAGTCTTAGTCCTGGTGTAGGTTTAGTCCTGTTTTAGTCCTGGTTTAGTCCTGGTCTGGTACCTTGGCGGTCTGGTTGAAGAGGCTGTAGTCGACTCTAGTAGCTTCTGATATAGTCCTGGTCTAGTCTTAGTCCTGGTGTAGGTTAAAGGTTGTATGGAGGATTTTTTTTGTTTGTTTTTTTGTTTCAAATTGTCAGTGATAGATTATAGAGATGCAGTCGCCTTGTAATTATGATGACCAAAAAAAAGAGAATAAAAATTCATCAACTCTGGACGTGGTGGGGCTAAACATTTGCCAATAGATAACGACACTGCCTCGTTATCTGTGAGCTGACAGGCTGTCAATCAAACTCCCTACGTTTCTAGTGTAACTGACTTGCCTGCGCCGCCGGTACGTGGTTTATGTACGACTGTCACGCAGTCCACAGACGCAAGACGCACAGACGCTGTTTACTCCACCAACGCAACAGTTCTTAGTGGCTTTTTTTGACCTATATCTTCCTCGCAGTTCGCACAAAGTTTGTTGCGATGGCGACAAGAATCCAGGAGCAGTTCGCCGCAAAAGAAAGTCCGTTTTTGAGGTCGCTGAAAGAAGAAGACAAGGGGAAAAGCAGCGACACCAAACTAAGGTGATTCTTGTAGATTCATTCCAGCGATGGCGCAACTGAAGCAGACGCAGGGTCTAAAGACTGACGCACTGGTCCACAAATTACTCCTGGACAGGAAACGTCTGCTTATTATGAAAACGTACTTTATTTCCAAGACCGAGTCAAACGTTTTTCAGGACACGAAAGCGATATCCTATGTCTGAAAACATAATTTTCAAGGCAAAGAAAGAGTCCACTTGCTGCTGCGTGTTGTTGCTAGTTCATTCGCACGGAATCTCCGCGCAACCTTCTCTGCTCCTGTCCCCGCTGCCCGATCCGCTCTTCCCCCTGCTCCTCACTTCTCCGGGCACGGAATCTCCGCGCACCGCTCCCCTCTCCTCTCTCCTCTCCCAGCTCCGCTCCTCTCCTGCTCCTCACTTCTCGTCCGTGAACGAAATGTCCGCGCACCCGCTCCCCCGCTCCTCACTTCTCCGTCTTGCCTAATCAACACTGTAGTTAGTTGTTTACAAGTCATGTGCAGCGGCTGTAAACAAACCTGTTTCTGGCGTAAGGAGGAGGAGGGAGGAGGCGTTTCTACGTAGGAGCTGTAGGGGAGGGGGGTGGTTTCACGCAGGAGCAACATTTGAAAAAGGACAAACAGTCGCTGGATTTCTCGTTCCTTGGAAAATCCTCTATACAACCTTTAAGTCCTGTTTTAGTCCTGGTTTAGTCCTGGTCTGGTACCTTGGCGGTGTGGTTGAAGAGGCTGTAGTCGACTCTGTAGTTCCTGCGTGTGACTCGGATCATCTCCTGGAACAGCGCCCCCCACAGGATGTCGTTGGGCGTGTAGGACGAGCGGGTCTGGTGCAGGATTCCCGTCGTGTCGTCCGTGTACGTGAAACTCACCACCAGCTCGAAGTCGTCCTGTCGCAGCGCGGTGAGGCCGGTGTGGTAGAGCGGGCTGGCGGCGTCCAGGCGGTGCGTGATGGTGGTGGGCGTGGCTAAGATCACGTGACTCTGCTCCAGCACCAGGTCCTGGTACGACATGTCCACCTTCCCGGTGGAGTGTAAGGTGGAGCGGACGATCTGAGCGCGCGCCATTCCTTCCACCAGGTGATGGCGCCGGAAGTCCCCGATGCGCCACGACAGGCAGAGGGCGCCGTTACGCAGGTTCACCACGGCGCAGTTGCTGAAGCCCACCGTCTGCGCCCGTTTCCTCGCCGACGCCATCTTCGCGACCACGATGCCGATGACGAAGGTGTCGATGAAGCAGCTCATCACGTCCTGCACCGTTACCACGATGATTGCCACCATGCAGTTTTCCGACATCCCCCGGAAACCGTAACTATGGAAACGGACGAGTTACAGTTTATGATAATATTATAATGACCACGTTTACATGATGTTTTTAAATTCAGAATTAATTGTTCGGAATTAAGTAGTTCAGAATTTAAATATTCTCCTTGGAGTTTACAGCGTTCCCTCGTTTATCACGGAGGTTACGTTCTAAAAATAACCCGCAAATCACGAAGTCGTCAGAAAACGACTCCAGAAATTTGTTTGTGAACTCCATAAATGCAAAAGTGAATCAGATGTGTGTGACTCAAACCTCCGTTCAAACTGTTTCTCTTCCCAACGGAATTGAAAAATAGTGAAAGGTGAAGGTGATGGGCAGGATTGATCCACAGGAAGAACCAAAAAGGAAACATTTGTCTGACTAAGAAATCATCCCGAGTTTACAGAGAACATTTTGTATGTGGAGCGACGACAAAACAAAATCCCGTTTGTTAATGTAGAGGAGCAGAAGACAAACAGACTGAGCTGCACTTTCTTGTTCTTGTGGTTTTACAGCAACATCACGTCTTGGTCTCTTTGCAGTGGAAGGTGTTTCTTGGTGAACAGCTGGAGCCTTTCACTTTGGTGGTGACTTTTTAAATTCGTAAACAAGGTTGAGTGAGGGATCGGGGTTTTGTTTTGTTGTCGCTCCACATACAAAATGTTCTCTGTAAACTCGGGATGATTTCTTAGGCTGTGTTCAGACTGCAGCCTGAAGTGACCCAAATCCGATTTTTTGGCCTCTATGTTCCTGTATCTGATCTTTTAATGACGTCTGAACGGCACAGATCCGATTTTTTCAAATGTGACCCAGGCCAGTTGGATATGTGCTCCTGAAACTGATACATATCCGATCTTTTGACATGTGACTTCAGTGTGAACGGTCAGGTCACATTCATCCACCTACACGTCATCAACAAGACACAAACGTCACTATTCTGCGCTGAAGTAGGCGGAAACCGTTAGCAAGCCACAACTAGCCACAACTTCCGTAAACATAGAGACGCTCGCTGCGGTTGACGTCATCGTGTCCTCCAGTGTGCATGCGGGACACTTTCGGGCCGTTTACCGTTCACACTGGAGTCACAGACAAGTCGCATTTAATTGGAAATGTGAACGACCTCGCAAAAACATCGGAATTGAGCGTTAAGCCCTGCAGTCTGAATGGAACCTTAGTCAGACAAATGTTTCCTTTTTGGTTCTTCCTGTGGATCAATCCTGCCCATCACCTTCACCTTTCACTAGTTTTCAATTCCGTCGGGAAGAGAAACAGTTTGACCGGAGGTTTGAGTCACACACATCTGATTCACTTTTGCATTTATGAAGTTCACAAACACATTTCTCGAGTCGTTTTCCGCTGTTAGGATCCAACATCCACACAATTAACGATGTCCGAATCCCAAAACTAAAATATGACAATATCAGAACCAGAAACAAAAGTGATATGGTTCAAAAGACTTGAAAAGATCGACTTTGACAATAGACACATCCCACTGGGAAAACAAACATGGAGGTTTGATGCTCACTTTTTCCTAAGATCTTTACCAGTATGAATTTCGCAATGAGCAGAAGACCGAGATTTGTGATGCGTCTATTAATGTTTCATGTAAATGTGGCAAATGTGAAAAAAATCATTGGTCCGATTTAAAATCCCCAGAATTCAATGCGCCTCATCTTTGAATTTGTTAAACAATTGAGACATTTTTTCTCGTGGTCTCTACCCTCAGATTATCCTGGAGGTTCTCACCCGATGGTCGTCTGCGTCTCCAGCGAGAAGAGGAAGGCGGCGGTGAAGCTCCTGACCTCGTACACGCAGGGGTCGGAGGTCGGGTTCTGGACGTCCCCGTGGGCGATGGCGATGACCCAGAAGAGCAGCCCGAAGAACATCCACGACAGGATGTAGGACAAAGCGAAGACCAGGAACATCACCCTCCAGCGGATCTCCACCAGCGTCGTGAAGATGTCCGTCACCAGGAGCAGCCACTCCTCCGGAACGTGCCGGAAAATCACGTTACCTGAGCCGTCTTTACGCACGAACCTCTGACGGGAGCAGGGGGTGTGGCCAGAGGGGGCGGGGGGCGGGGCTTCAGAGGAGTTCACGGAACAATACTGAGCCTTGGACATCCTGGAGGAACCTGAGGAGACACAGAGGAACCTGAGGAGACACAGAGGAACCTGAGGAGACACACAGAGGAACTGAGGAGACACAGAGGAACCTGAGGAGATACAGAGGAACAGAGGAGACACAGAGGAACCTGAGGAGAGACAGAGGAACCTGAGGAGACACAGAGGAACCTGAGGAGACACAGAGGAACCTGAGGAGACACAGAGGAACCTGAGGAGACACAGAGGAACCTGAGGAGATACAGAGGAACCTGAGGAGATACAGAGGAACCTGAGGAGACACAGAGGAACCTGAGGAGATACAGAGGAACCTGAACCTGAGGAGATACAGAGGAACCTGAGGAGATACAGAGGAACCTGAAGGAGATACAGAGGAACCTGAGAGATACAGAGGAAACCTGAGGAGAATACAGAGGAACCTGAGGAAGAGGAACCTGAGGAGACACAGAGGAACCTGAGGAGACAGAGGAACCTGAGGAACACAGAGGAACCTGAGGAGACACAGAGGAAACCTGAGGAGATACAGAGGAACCTGAGGAGACACAGAGGAACCTGAGGAGACACAGAGGAACCTGAGGAGATACAGAGGAACCTGAGGAGATGACAGAAACCTGAGGAACAGAGGATTTGAGGAATACAGAGGAACCTGAGGAACAGGTTTCTGGAATGGACTTGTTTTAGATGAATATTTTGATCTAAAATGTCCAAATTATAACAGAATGATCTGGATTTAAACCAGGACTAGACTAGTACTAACCTGGTCTGAAACTGGACTAACCCAGATTTAAACGAGAACTAAACCAGGACTAAACTAGAACTGAACTAACTCAGAATTAAACTAGGTCCAAAGCAGAACTAAACCATGACCGAAGCAGTAAACATGAGAAATTATGAGTTGTAACATTAGGACTAAACCAGGACTAAACCAGGACTAAACCAGGACTAAACCAGGTCTAAAAGGAGACTTGATGTGTGCGGAGAAGAGGCCTGGGCCAGAGTTTGATGTAAAGTTCTAAATGATCCGAGTCTTTCCCGTTTTTCTCGTGAACCTTCACCACAAAAAACACAAAACAGAATCTGAATAATTTACTGTAATTTCAAAACAACTTAATTTTTTTTTTCTCCGATTTCCGATCAGACGATTTGGATTTGGTCCGAACGCACGAGGATTACAGGAAAACCAGGGAACGCCCAAAACACGAGTCCAGACCTGAGAGACCAGGATCAGTCCGGGTTCAGTCCAAGTTGAGACCTGCTCTGGACCTGGTCCGGTTCTGATTTAGTCCTGGTCAAGTACAGTTCAAACCTGGTCCAGACCTGGTTCAGACCTGGTTCTGACCTGGTCCAGACCTGGTTCTGGTCAGACCTGGTCCAAACCTGGTTTATCTGATGGTTCAACCTGGTCCAGACCTGGTTCTGACCTGATCCAGACCTGGTCCAGATATGGTTCAGACCTGGTCCAGACCTGGTTTAGACCTGGTCCAGACCTGATTCTGACCTCGTCCAAACCTGGTTTAGACCTGGTCCAGACCAGGTCCAGACCTGGTCCAAACCTGGTTTTGACCCAGTCCAGACCTGGTCCAGACCTGGTTCCAGACCTGGTCCAGACCTGGTCCAGACCTGGTTCCAGACCTGTTCCAGACCAGACCTGGTCCAGACCTGGTCCCTGGTCCAGTTCCAGACCTGGTCCAGACCTGGTCCAGACCTGGTTCTGACCTGGTCCAGAACCTGGTCCAGACCTTCCAGACCTGATCCAGACCTGGTCCAGACCTGGTTCTGACCTGGTCCAGACCTGGTCCAGACCCGACCTGGTTTAGACCTGGTCCAGACCTGATCCAGACCTGGTCCAGACCTGATTCTGACCTCGTCCAGACCTGGTTTAGACCTGGTTTAGACCTGGTCCAGACCTGATTCTGACCTGGTCCAGACCTGGTCCAGACCTGATTCTGACCTGGTTTAGACCTGGTCCTGACCTGGTCCAGACCTGGTCCTGACCTGGTCCTGACCTGGTCCAGACCTGGTCCTGACCTCATCCAGACCTGGTTTAGACCTGGTCCAGACCTGGTCCTGACCTGGTTTAGACCTGGTTTAGACCTGGTCCAGACCTGGTCCTGGTCCTGAGGTCCAGACCTGGTCCAGACCTGGTCCTGACCTGGTTTAGACCTGGTCCAGACCTGAGACCTGGTCCTGACCCTGCTGAGGTTCTGTTTGAGGATGTTCTTGTGGTTTTGGATTATGATTTTCCATAATTTCTTTTTTCCGGTTTCAGTTGACGTCAGAGCGAATTAAGAAAAAACTGTTCAGGAAACGAGAAAAACACTCCACCAAGAAATGTCCCACACTGGAGCTTTAACCCTGATACTACTACTACTACTACTACTACTACTACTACTACTACTACTACTACTACTACTACTACTACTACTGCTACTACTACTACTACTGCTACTGCTACTACTACTACTACTACTACTACTACTACTACTACTACTGCTACTACTACTACTACTGCTACTACTACTACTACTACTGCTACTACTACTACTACTACTACTGCTACTACTACTACTACTGCTACTACTACTACTACTACTACTGCTACTACTACTACTACTACTACTACTGCTACTACTACTACTACTACTACTACTGCTACTACTACTACTACTACTACTACTACTACTACTACTACTACTACTACTACTACTACTACTACTACTACTGCTACTACTACTACTACTACTACTACTACTACTGCTACTACTACTACTACTACTACTACTACTACTACTACTACTACTACTGCTACTACTACTACTACTACTACTACTACTACTACTACTACTACTACTGCTACTACTACTACTACTACTACTACTACTGCTACTACTACTACTACTACTACTACTGCTACTACTACTACTACTACTACTACTACTACTACTACTACTACTACTACTACTACTACTACTACTACTACTACTACTACTACTACTACTGCTACTACTACTACTACTACTACTACTGCTACTACTACTACTACTACTACTACTACTACTACTACTACTACTACTACTACTACTACTACTACTACTACTACTACTACTTACTACTACTACTACTACTACTACTACTACTGCGATTACTTCTCTACTACTACTACTACTACTACTACTACTACTACTATACTACTTACTACTACTACTATATACTCTACTACCTGTTTCCTTGTTTCTTTCCTTGTTTCCTATCTCCTAGTTTGTTTCCTGTCCCCTCGATGCCTATCTCCTTGTTTCCTTTGACCTTCTCGTCCTCCGTTACGTTTGTTTGTTTGTTTTTCCCACACTTCTTTTTTCCTTCACTGATTTCCGTTCATCCACAAACCGCAGAATTACACTTTCACAGGAAGGTTCCTTCATTCTCTCCATCCCTCCCTCCCTCCATCTCTCCTCCCTCATCCTCCTCTCCCATTATCTCCCTCTTTATTTCTCTATTTTCTTTTCTCTCCCTTCCTTCTCCTCTCTCTCTCCATCTCTCCTCTCTCTCTCTCTCCCTCTTCTCCCTCTCTCCCTTCTCTCTCTCTTTCTCTTTCTCCTCCTCTTCCTCCCTCCATCTCCCTCTCTCTTCTCCTTTCCTTTTTCCTCTCCTCCTTTTTCCTTTTCTCTTGCTCTCTCTTCTCTCTCTCTCTCCCCTCCTTTTCCCTCTCCCTCTTCTCCTCCCTCTCTCCCTTTTGTTCCTTATCTGCCTCTTCTTTCTCTCTCCTTTCCTCTCTCCTCTTCCCTCCCTCCCCTCCCTCCGTCTCCCTTCTCTCCGTCTTTCCTCTCTTTCCCTCTCTCTCCTCCCTCTTTCCTTTCTCTCCTTCACCTTCCTCACCTCTCCATCTTTCCCCCTTCTTGTCTTCCTCTCTCCCTCTCTCTTGTCCTTTCCCTCCCTCTCCTCTTTCCTCTCCTCCTCCTACTTTTCTCTCCTCCCTCCCTCTCTTTCTTGTCCTTCTCTCTTGTCCCCTCTCTCCCCCTCCTTCTTTTTCTTGTCCTTCTCTCTTCTCCTCCCTCCCTCCTCCTTTTCCTTCTCCTTCTCTCCTCTCCCTCTCTTACCCCCCTTCTCCCTTTCTTTTTTTCTTTCTTCTCCCTCTCTCCTCTCCCCCTCCCTCCCTCTCTTTTTCTCTCTCGCCCCTCCCCTCCTCCTCCCTCACTCCTTTCTTTCTTTCTTTCTTTCTTGTCCTTCTCTCCTTCTCTCTCTCACTCCTCTCCCTCTGTTCTCTCCTCCTCCTCTCTTTCTTGTCCTTCTCCCTCTCTCTCTCCCTCCCTCGTTCTTTCTTGTCTCCTCTCTCCTCCCTCTCTCTCCTCCTCCTTTCTCCTCCTCTCTCCTCCTCTCTCCCTCCGTTCTTTCTTGTCCTCCTCTCTCTCCTCCTCTCTCTCCTCTTCTCCTCTCTCCCTCTCTCTCCTTCTCCCTTTTCTTGTCCTTCCCTCTCCTCGTCTTTCTTGTCCTCCTCTCTCTCTCCCTCTCTTTCTTGTCTTCCTCCCTCTCTCCCTCTCTTCTCTTTCTCCTCTCCTCCTCCTCCTCTCTCCTCTCCCTCCTTCTCCTCGTTCTTTCTTGTCCTCCTCTCCCTCTCTCCTCCTTCTCCTTTCTTTCTCTCTCTTCCTCTCTCCTCCTCTCTCCCTCGTTCTTTCTTGTCTCCTCCTCCTCTCTCCTCCCTCCTCCCTCGTTCTTCCTTGTCCTCCTCCTCCCTCTCTCCTCCTCTCTCCTCGTTCTCTTTCTTCTCCTCCTCCTCCTCCTCCTCCTCCTCGTTCTTTCTTGTCCTCCTCCTCCCTCTCTCCCTCCTCCTCGTTCTTTCTTGTCGTCCTCCTCCTCCTCCTCCTGTTCTTCTTGTCCTCCTCTCCTCTCTCTCCTCTCTCCTCTCCTCTTTCTTTCTCCCTCCTCTTCCTCCTCCTCCTCCTCCTCCTCTCCTCCTCCTCCTCTTCTTTCTTGTCCTCCTCCCTCTCTCTCCTCCTCCCTCCCTCGTTCTTCTTGTCCTCCTCCTCCTCCTCCTCCTCCTCCTCTCTCCTCGTTCTTTCTTGTCCTCCTCCTCCTCCTCCTCCTCCTCGTTCTTTCTTGTCGTCCTCTCCTCCTCCTCTCGTTCTTTCTTGTCCTCCTCCTCCCTCCTCCTCCTCCTCCCTCGTTCTTTCTTGTCGTCCTCTCCTCCTCCTCCCTCGTTCTTTCTTGTCCTCCTCCTCCTCCCTCTCTCCTCCTCCTCCTCTCTTCTTGTCTTGTCTCTCCTCTTCTCTGTCGTCCTCTCCTCCTCCCTCGTTCTTTCTTGTCTCCCTCCTCTCTCCTCCTCCTCCCTGGTCTTGTTCTCCTCCTCCTCCCTCTCTCCTCCTCCTCTCGTTCTTTCTTGTCGTCTCTCTCCTCCTGTTCTTTCTTGTCGTCCTCCCTCTCTCCTCCTCCTCCCTCGTTCTTTCTTGTCGTCCTCTCGTGCCTGTTCCGCTCCATTAGATTCCACTTAGCTTTAATGACGTTCCGTTCCGTGTGTTTCTTCCGTGTTTTTCCGTGTTTGACCACAGCAGGTCAGGCCCCGAGGCTCAAAGGCACAAGGGCAGAACAACGGAGGGAGGGAGGGACGGAGAGATGAAGGGGGGGAAAGAGAGAGCAGAGAGAAAGTCAGGTTAGAAACAGAGAGAGTGAAGGAGGGCGGAGAAAGAGAAAGAAGAGAGAGAGAGAGAGAGGAGGTAGAGGAGAAGCAGGGGAAAGGGCAAAGACAAAAAAGAGGAGAGAAGAAAGAGAAAAGTGAGAGAGAGAGAGATTTGTCAAACCCATGGACTGTTTATTTAAATGGACAAATGTAACGTGAAAGTCACAGCTTCCAAACAGGAAGTGAACATGGGAGCGAGGGCTGGTATCGTTAAGAAGTTGCCGATACGATACGATACACTCCTCGATACACAGGCCACGATACGATACATATCTCGATACAGCACTTTCGATTTGATATGATATATTTCAAATCAATTCGATACGGTTCAATAAAAAATAAAGTCTAAATCATGTCTATGATACTAAAAGTGTTTGTTAAACCACTTCTTCTTGTGCAAAGTTCATATGAAACACAAACATTTTAATCATCAAAACAGTGAAAATGTGAAATGTGTCGCATAAATGAGTTTCCTTTCACTCCACAAGCAACAAAACTGTAGCTGTAACAAAATAATTTAGTAAAACACACCTAAAAATACTCTTGCTGATATATCGATACAGTAGCTCATGATATCGATACTGTGTCATCACATTAAAGATACGATATATCGATATTCCTAATGGGAGCACTTCCTGCTCCATCGACTCTGACCGAGTGGAAACTTCACAGAAAAACACAATTATGACTTTTAATCTTAGAATTATGACTTTCTGTGAGGCTTCTATCAATCCATTTTCTTTTGTTTATCTGCAGTCGGGTCTCGGGGGCATCAGTCTAAACAGGGACTCCCAGACTTCCCTCACCCCAGACACTTCCTCCAACTCCTCCTGTGGAACCCCGAGGTGTTCCCAGGTCAGTCCAGAGACATCGTCCCTCCAGTGTGTCCTGGGTCTTCCCCGGGGCCTCCTCCTGGTGGGACATGAACACCTCCTGAGGGACACGTCCAGGAGACATCAGAACAGACGTCCTCCCCTCAGCCGCTCCTCTCCACGTGGAGGAGCAGCGGCTCTACTCCGAGCTCCTCACTCTGTCTCTAATGGAGCGTCCAGACACCGAGCGGAGGAAACTCATCTGTGTCGCTTGGATCAGGATCTCGTCCTTTCGGCTCATGACCAGAGGTGAGGATTTTCTGTGAGACTTTTATTTTTTTTAATTTTCTGTCAGAATCGAGCTTCCACAGACTCTCGTTCACTTTGTTTATATTGAACAGTTGTGGCTCGTCTCTCTGCACCTGCTGCTGTGGCCTTCAAATTTGCTCTTAAATCTTTGTATTAACCTCTTGAGACCCGACCTTTTGTCTGGTGTGCATTTTATTTTCCTTGATATTTGGGATGAGTAGGGCCAAATAATTATCATAACTAAACGTTGTTTTTATACAGGAAATAGTTTTTGCAAAAAAACGATGTCTTCATATGAGAAGAATGGGTCGATCTTACTGTCTGACACAAACTATTGGTTAAAAAATCTTTATCTTCACCGTCTGACCTGCCTGTTTACGCCGATTAACTTTTTAAGTATATTAAAACTTTACTTAAGCAAATATACGACTTAAATTAACTATTTACAACTGTAAATTCTAGTGCTGTAGACCGGGATTAGTCTTGAGGCCGGCCTCCAGACCCCTTTTTTTTTCAACGGTCTTGGTCTTGTCTCAGACTGAAGCACAGTTTGGACTCGGTCTTGTCTCGGTCTTGATGGTGCGTGGTCTCGTCTCGGTCTTGATGGTGCGTGGTCTTGTCTCGGTCTTGATGGTGCGTGGTCTCGGTCTCGGATGGTGCGTGGTCGGTCTCGGTCTCGATGGTGCGTGGTCTCGGTCTGGTCTCGGTCTCGATGGTGCGTGGTCTCGGTCTGGTCTCGGTCTCGATGGTGCGTGGTCTCGGTCTGGTCTCGGTCTCGATTGGTGCGTGGTCTCGGTCTGGTCTCGGTGCTGGTCGGATGGTGCGTGGTCTCGTGGTCTCGGTCTCGGTCTCGGTCTCTCGATGGTTGGTCGTGGTCTCGGTCTGGTCTCGGTCTGGTCTCGATGGTGCGTGGTCTCGGTCTGGTCTCGGTCTGGTCTCGGTCTCGGTCTCGATGGTGCGTGGTCTCGGTCTGGTCTCGGTCTCGATGGTGCGTGGTCTTAGTCTTGTCTCAGACTCAAGCACATTTGGACTCGGACTCAGCTTCCAAATTTGATTAGAATTTTGTGAATGAAATGCACCAGCTGTCAATCAAACCTGTTGCTAACACTAGTGGGAGGGG